TTTATTTTTCAGTCTTTATGATGGTCGATACTTGATCTATCTCTTACTGTTACATCCCCGGCAACGCCGGGCTCTACTAGTATATATATATATATATATATATATATATATATATATATATATATATATATATATATATCTCCAAGTATACAAGTATATGATTGGTGTATACGGAATAAATTCCAATAACCAACAATTTTTATAGAGGGCCGTTTCCTGTCTCGTCACTTTTTTGAGTGTGTATATATATCTAAATATTTCCGGGTGCTTATGTATTATAATCTGATTGTGTTTCTATTGTTTTACACGAGAGGTTAGCACCCCCCCTCACACACTTGGGATTAAAATGTATACATTTTGTCGGGAAGACCAGTTGATATTAGCGTCGATTCTAACGTAATTTCAATGAAGAAATAAATTGAATAACATATGTATTTTTTCTTTTCTCCTCAGTAATTTTATAATTTTAAAATAAATAGAGATTAAATTTAGATTTTAAAATTGGTAATTTTTTACTTTTAATTTTAATATCAAATTTTATCATATAATTTAATACTTATTGGTTAGAATAAATTCTATTTTAGTATAACCCCAACTTTAAAGCTCTTAATAGCTATTATAACCTTACTTCATTGTCAAGTTTTATTGAATTCTCCTATACTTTTGATTGGTCATTCTCGTTTTTATAAAAGCGTTTTCCCCTTGCGAAGGATCGTTAATTAATTTGAAACTTTTAAAAGCATTTATTTTACATTCAACATCATCACTTGATAAAACACTGGAAGTGTTGAAACAAAATGGCTATTTTTGTAGTGATTTCATAACGTATTTATGTTATAGTTTTTTAAATAAATAACTATATATATATATATATATATATATATATATATATATATATATATATATATATATATATATAAAAAAAAAGAAAGAACAGTAAGATATATAATCCGGTGTTCTTATAGATATTTTTTTTTTTTTTTTTTTTACAAAAAATAGAGCTCAATGTAAATTTACAGAGCATTAATATTATAAATTAATTGATTTAAAATATGTTTTTTTTCGCTCCACAGATCTAACCATGTTTCAAAAATGGAAGCTAAAAACCCCGAATTTAATTTTGTGATTAAATTAAAGACATTAGTTCCATTTCATCCTCAAGCGAATTTTGGAGTAACTTTTAAAATTACTGGGTTTTAAAGACACAGCTAAAACAAAATTCATCTTTCCAAGGTTACAGATAAATCTATTTTTCTAGACAGGGGTGTCTGGGTTTTCAATTTATCTATATTTTAATGTATTAGTTATTGCTACGTTTTGGTAGTGGGTAGGGATATATTTTGCAATGAAATCTAACATCGTTAAAAAAGCGTGTCGTCTGGATTTTTAAAAAAAATTATATTGTTAACGGCTAAAATTCTTACGGCATTTTTTTCATTCGTATATTTAAAGATTTTTTTTTGGGGGGGGTTGTTTAGGTAAGAATAATATATATATATATATATATATATATATATATATAGTGAGGGCTACTTTCCAGCCACCATCTTTAATACCATATTTGGTACTATAACGATAGTTCCTTTATTTATTAGCTTATGAAAAGAGTGTGGAAGTTTAGTGTAGATACATATTAATCTTGTATATGAATTCATATCTTTACGTTTATTGAGATTCATATGTTTGTGTGGCGGCTTGTGTATATCTACACACTGTTATGTGCACTTGCGCATCCATACATGTATCCTCTTTTCGTCTCTGTTTTTTCTGCACCCCCAAAGTTTTATCCTTTCGTTTGTTCTTTCCTTTTTTCTTTTTTTTATTTCCTTCCTTTTTTCTTTTCTTTTATTTCTTTCCTTTTTTCTTTTCTTTTATTTCTTTCCATTTTCTTTTCTTTTATTTCTTTCCTTTTTTTCTTTTCTTTTATTTCCTTCCTTTTTTCTTTTCTTTTATTTCTTTCCTTTTTTTCTATTATTTCTTTCCTTTTTTTCTTTTCTTTTATTTCTTTCCTTTTTTCTTTTCTTTTATTTCTTACCTTTTTTCTTTTCTTTTATTTCTTTCCTTTTTTTCTTTTCTTTTATTTCTTTCCTTTTTTCAATTCTTTTATTTCTTTCCTTTTTTTCTTTTCTTTTATTTCTTTCCTTTTTTTCTTTTCTTTTATTTCTTTCCTTTCTTTTATTTCTTTCCTTTTTTCTTTTCTTTTATTTCTTTCCTTTTTTTTTCTATTATTTCTTTCCTTTTTTCTTTTCTTTTATTTCTTTCCTTTTTTCTTTTCTTTTATTTCTTTCCTTTCTTTTATTTCTTTCCTTTTTTCTTTTCTTTTATTTCTTTCTTTTTTTTCTTTTCTTTTATTTCTTTCCTTTGTTCTTTTCTTTTTTTCTTTTATTCCTTTTTTTTTTCTTTTTATTTCTTTCCTTTTTCTTTTCTTTTTCTTTCTTTCCTTTTTTTTTTTTATTTCTTTCCTTTTTTCTTTTCTTTTATTTCTTTCCTTTTTTTTCTTTTCTTTTATTTCTTTCCTTTTTTTCTTTTCTTTTATTTCTTTCCTTTCTTTTATTTCTTTCCTTTCTTTTATTTCTTTCCTTTTTTCTTTTCTTTTATTTCTTTCCTTTTTTCTTTTCTTTTATTTCTTTCCTTTTTTTCTTTTCTTTTATTTCTTTCCTTTGTTCTTTTCTTTTATTTCTTTTCTTTTTTTTCTTTTCTTTTATTTCTTTCCTTTTTTTCTTTTCTTTTATTTATTTCCTTTGTTCTTTTCTTTTTATTTCTTTCCTTTTTCTTTTCTTTTTATTTCTTACCTTTTTTTTTTTCTTTTATTTCTTTCCTTTTTTCTTTTTCTTTTATTTCTTTCCTTTGTTCTTTTCTTTTATTTCTTTCCTTTTTTCTTTTCTTTTATTTCTTTCCTTTTTTCTTTTCTTTTATTTCTTTCCTTTTTTCTTTTCTTTTATTTCTTTCCTTTCTTTTATTTCTTTCCTTTTTTCTTTTCTTTTATTTCTTTCCTTTTTTTCTTTTCTTTTATTTCTTTCCTTTGTTCTTTTCTTTTATTTCTTTCCTTTTTTCTTTTCTTTTATTTCTTTCCTTTTTTTCTTTTCTTTTATTTCTTTCCTTTTTTCTTTTCTTTTATTTCTTTCCTTTTTTTCTTTTCTTTTATTTCTTTCCTTTTTTCTTTTCTTTTGTTTCTTACCTTTTTTCTTTTCTTTTATTTCTTTCCTTTTTTTTCTTTTCTTTTATTTCTTTCCTTTGTTCTTTTCTTTTATTTCTTTCCTTTTTTCTTTTCTTTTATTTCTTTCCTTTTTTCTTTTCTTTTATTTCTTTCCTTTTTTCTTTTCTTTTATTTCTTTCCTTTGTTCTTTTCTTTTATTTCTTTCCTTTTTTTTCTTTTCTTTTATTTCTTTCCTTTTTTTCTTTTCTTTTATTTCTTTCCTTTTTTTTCTTTTCTTTTATTTCTTTCCTTTGTTCTTTTCTTTTATTTCTTTCCTTTTTTTTTTTTCTTTTATTTCTTTCCTTTTTCTTTCTTTTATTTCTTTCCTTTTTCTTTTCTTTTATTTCTTTCCTTTGTTCTTTTCTTTTTATTTCTTTCCTTTTTTTTCTTTTCTTTTATTTCTTTCCTTTTTTTCTTTTCTTTTATTTCTTTCCTTTTTTTTCTTTTCTTTTATTTCTTTACTTTTTTTCTTTTCTTTTATTTCTTTCCTTTTTTTCTTTTCTTTTATTTCTTTCCTTTTTTTTCTTTTCTTTTATTTCTTTCCTTTTTTTTCTTTTCTTTTATTTCTTTCCTTTTTTCTTTTCGTTTATTTCTTTTTTGTCTCGTCAGATGCTTTTTCGGAAATGGACAACTTATCTGAACTACAGCCCGTTTTTCTGAAATTGACAATTGTCGGCAACACAGGCTACACGCAAGATGTCTTCCCCACTCAGCAAACCTATAACTCTCTTCATCTATGTTTACAATCGTACGACCACACCCTCTCATTTCCCCTACTACTAATAAGAGACAGGCTTAAAGCTCTTACATCGATGAAAATTTTAGATTTAAGTTTACTTCATAAAACGTTTCGCATAGCGAGGGGTCCGACAAAGATAGGATTTTTGCTAATAATATGATATCCACCGAAAAATACACCGTCTACAAAAACATCTGTCTGTGAGCAATTCCCATTTCTCTGGGTTTTTTTCTCGCTCCGTTGATGAAGGACCTAGGCGTGTCCGAAAATTTCGGACTTAAAACCTTTTTTCCGTACTTTATTTCTGTCGTATGGTTAATAATTAATATTGAATAAATGTTTTTCGTACTCTTGGTACCCTTTCGTTTGTCCTTGTTTTATTAACCAACCTATCTAGTTTACATACTATAAGAAGCAAAGGTGGACGCTTTCTTCTAATTATATATATATATATATATATATTGACATCATTTAAAATGTGAATATCTGAGTCATTATATGTTCCAGGCAAACGAAATTAAATAGGCTTCCTGTTGAACAATCAAAGGGTTATTTATCAAAATTCGAACACTATATTCGAAGGGATGTAGATTTTAACACGAATTTCAGAAAGCTTCATAAACGTTCAATATGCGCACCCCCTGTGACACGACGCGCGTCAAGTCGGCAATCCAGCTCCTGCCAAACAGGCTGTAACATTCTTTATTGCTTTTAAATTTTTTGTGCCATGTCCAAATCTGATTTCTAGTTTATGCATTTTTCTCCAATGACGCTGCACACTCTTGTTTGACTGTTCGAGCCTACAAGATACTTTTTCATTTTTAGAATTCATCAATCTTCACAATGAAAAAAAGAAAAATTAAACATTCAACTTAGATTTTACAAATTTTGTTAAAATTTGAGCGAGAATTGGCCATGTTGTTAGACTACAAAATGAGCTCACTTATTTTGAGACACCCTGTATATACATATATATAGACACACACA